TTCATAATTATTCCAACTATTGACTAGGAAGGATATATTAGCGAATGCAATAAATATATTATTAATTACTTACATTATCTAATATATAAAATTTTCGCGCCACTGTGTTTGTTTACCAACTCCTCTGAAACGGCTTGACCAATTATTATAAAATTTTTAGTGTATATTTGGTAGGTCTGAAAATAGGGCGCTAAAAATAACATTAGAGTGGCCCTTTGCGGAAATAATGTATATGGCAAAAAAACATCTGCTGAGTTATTACTACAATATGAAATATTTTTGGTATACATAAGGTGCAATGCAACATAAAACTTCTCGTTAAACAAAATAATAACGTTTCATTGGAAATAATAACTTATGTGTTATTGTGATGTAGATATGTTACTGTAAAGTTCCATCATAAACTTCAAAATTCGTTCGGTAGTTTTTGCCTGATAGAGTAACAAACATCTATCCATCCATAATTACAAACTTTCGCGTTTATAATATGTATAATATAAGTAAAATATAACTAACAGCTATTTCAACGAATACTTACTAATAATATAAATCTGAAAGTAGGGATGTTTGTTACACTTTCACGCAAAAACTGCAGAACCGATTATCACGAAATTTTGTACACATGTTCTTGGAGGTATTCATAGAATGAACATAGGGTACTTTTTATTAAAAAAACAAACATTTTTTATAAAAAATAATAAATAAAATATCAACATTTTGCTACCATCTAGCAGCCAGCAATGAAGTTATGCGAGCAAAGCCGCGGGTAAATGCTAGTCTCTAATAATGTTTAGGATGAAAACAATAAGGCCACACGCCCGACAAAAGTACAATAGCGGGCACACTCCGGGTGGAGAACATTAAGTTTTATAGTGGCACTTGTTAAGGGCTCCTTGTTATTATGAGCAGAAAGGGACGAGATTTTTTTATGCAATACGAATGGCCATGTTAATTACTAGCTTTGCCTACAGTTTCATCCGCGTTAAATTTACATACATAAATTTAAAAAAAAAATATATAGCCTATGTGTTATACTGATGCATAAGCTACATTATTGTAAAGTTTCATTAAAATCGGTTTAGTAGTTTTTGCGTGAAAGAGTCACAAACATCCATACCTACCACATTCGCATTTATCTTATTAGGTTTAGGATTAACATTAAATTGCACCTGCTTATTATCCCTGATCAACGCGATGGTTGACTGGTAGAAAATGCCATCAGGCATTAAGTTCGTCATGTATACAATTTTGTGTAATTTTGTAAAAAAATATATTCTTTTGCTAATAATATGTTTTAACAATATCAGGAGAATTGCAAGTGCGTTGTCGGCATTTTAAAAGAAAGAAGCTCTTTTCTTGAAGGTTTCGTATCGGTTCAGAAATACCATCGCTGGAAGGTAATTGTACAATGTGGTTGTGGCAAAAAGTTTCTAGAAAACCGCACTGTGGAGGACCACATTCATCCAGATGATCAGGATGGTAATTTAGTCTCTGGCGGGTGGTACGGTGGTGAAACTCAACAGCAACTTTCCTCCATATAAATAAATAAATGAAATGACAAGGTGACGGATCACCAAATGTTAAACAGTAACCGTCGCCTATACAGTGACTGTACTACGGATATAACGTTATTATGTGAAGATCGAGATACGACTCGAGCATCACCATTCCAGAGCTGAGATGTCATAACTCTTAATTGTTATATAACTGCCGAACTATATCTTAAAAATTAGTTTCTAAATATACTATATTTAGAATATATTAATAAATTAGAAAGTAGTTCAAAATTTACTATATAAGTTATGGAAGAGTGGAACCTCCCGGGATAGGCATTTTATCCTTAAACAGAGACCACAACAACTAAACATACAGAAGTAAAAATTGTGTAGAAAAATTTACTTTACAAGTTGCTTGGCAGCCGAAATAGGTGGGACAGAGGTATATAGACGAAATTTTACATAATCTACCTAAAACCTAAATATTTCAATATGAATATTAAATTAATTCAATTAAAAATAATGATAAGAAAAATATGATTTATTATTATTTCACTTTGGTCTTCAAAGCCCAGAAGTTTGTTTAAGCATTTGGCATACACGTGTCAAACTAACAGATTCTAACGCTTGCCGAGTTTTTTTCTACAGGCAAAAATGTGACAAAAAGTCCAGATGCGCCGGCCAAATGATACCGAAGTGTTTTTATAGTAGCCATGACAAATGGAAGGGTTAAAAATAACTTGTCAGATAAGTTATAGTTTCGTTCAAGTGTCATTCTATGATTAAACGAACTAATAGGTATTTATAATATCATATTTATTACAGCATTCAATGTTGGTATGTTTTTAACGGTACTAATGAAATGGTGTACCCACCGATCGTAGGGCGCACTAAAAGTTCATATGAGTACCTATGATAATTCTTTGATAGAATGGATAGATTTTGATGGAGTCTTTTGTAATTGTTGACTGTGGACCGTGTAGAGGTCGATCTGCCATTCCATTGCAGGCAATGAGTGACTAATTTAATAACTACTAACTAACAGTATTATGGTTGATTCCTAGTTACGTTTAATAAATAGATTAAGTCTACACTCTATGGTAATTGTTTAAATCTACATTACCTACATATATCTAAACATGTTTTTGATCCTGAATGTATGTATGTGAACGGACAGGATGTTTAAAAAAATGAAAGTTCAAAACTAACGACCGCCATTCGATACCGTGGATCCTGCCTGTCAAAACTTAAAAAATCATAACTTCGCGCAAAGGAGTGGTTTAAAAAATTGATTTATTTATGTCAAAAAGTTCTATTTTTGAACTATGAACAGATGCAAATACATACGGGCTCCTGTTGTGTTAATGGAACGCAACGTTTTGGAAAGTAGAAGAGAAATATTTGTACATTTAAAAATATATAAATCCTTGTGTTTTCAGTCTCTTTCTACAACTGAATTATTTGAGACTCGGACAATATCTCTGAAAATTTTGGACAGAATGGATTTTCTGCGAACTCAGATTGGGACTAGGATTCCTAGAAATATAGACAATTTCTTGTCATCGATAAAAATAATAGCTCTATGGTTATAAGAAAAAGAGCTTAATTAGACATTGTCAAAAAGCTGTCTCAAAATTTTATGAGAAGTAGGCGAAACTGCAATGTCTTCAAACACTTCATATAAAAAAGGGGGAGATATAATTGTCTGTGGCATTTTTGTTTGAACTAGATATCAAATTAATTACTATTGAAGAAAAATTGCAGATAAACATTAAAATAAATAATTTAAAAACGTAGGAAAAGTTTGTTTTTGAGCTATTCTTAAATAGAGGTCCACGTTTTCGAAACGTACAACTAAAATTAAACGTAAGTACAACGAAAAATCTTTTTCTGCGTTTACACAGTTTCGTGCGTTTTTTTAACTTTGTTTTAAACGTGTTGCCGCTTGCTGTGCAGAACAGGCATCTGAACATCGTGTTAACCACTAATTAACCTAATAAGTGAGTGGTATGTGGCATGTTGCATACCAAACCATTTGTCTTACTATACGCTTGGAGCGTCAACTCTGGAATTTTAGATATTTTGTCGAATACGTAGGATATGACTACGACATATTGCTATGCGTTAGATGAATGAAATTTATTGTTTTTAATGTAAATATTTATTGAATAATCATATAAGACCAATCTCTTAAGATTACATTGATATATTTTATAGAATATATGTTACCTATGCGTTATTCCATTGAATAATAGCAGTTGATCTCTAGTTAAATCCATTTTAATTTTGTCACTATGCAATTTTTTTGTGGGTTCTAATTTTATAAAGATATGATATTAGGAATTTGAGACTGGTTATACATACAGATATGTTTGTTATATCATTTTATATACATCTAACAAATTTTATTGTATAAATATGAATTTAATCATAGCTTTAAATTTATGTATTCATAGTATGTAAGTTAATTCCAACTATAAATATATAATGTAAAAAAATCTGAAATATGTTTGTTGCGCTTTCCTCAATCATTTGTAATGTAATTTATTTAGATGTAGAATGACTACACTTTTGCTATCAATAAATTATAGTCACTCACGCGGTCGAAGTCACGTGTAAAGCTAGTAGGTAGCTAAATCCCTTACCAGGCCTTAATAAAAACTATGGAGTGGCACTCACATCTATGGTACTTCAAAACACAATAAAAAGGGCTCTTAATCCTCATGTAATCCGCATATTGTCAATACACAATTGCCGTGAAAAGGGCTACTTAATAAACGTCCCAAATGGACCCCGCCCTACCCCTAGTCCTCAGGGTAGCGATTATCACGCCCCGATCAAAGGAAGTGTATGAAAAATACAATAGGTGTTCTGTTACACATTCTATTTGCAGAGATTCAAAGATGCGATTCCTCGTTCAAATCCGTTTTAAATATGTCAAATTGTACATTTTTAATTTTTTTGATATTTTTTTTATTTTACCATTCTGGAAGGAAGCAGTTTTCATTGAAATGGATGTATTATTTAAAATACTCATGATTATTCATAGTATGCTAATAACGTAATTTTTACAGATAAAACTATTCTTTCGTAATATTTCATTATACTTCCAATTTTTGTGTAATTGGATGGTTTAGAATAAAAATAAGTATTAGTATTATCTGTTATTAATATTCGTTGGTCGACAAATTTAGGAAAAGTACAATATATTTTTTTTTTAAATAAAACACACAATAATCAAACGTGCTGTATCACAGATATTTTTTTGCATTCGAAAAGTTATGTTATGTTTTTAAAAGTCATTTAGCGTGCCAAGGTGATTATGATTTACTGATTGATCACCGATTGAAAAGATTATAAGAATAAATCAGTTTGTGTTTTATTACAGACTTCACATTAGATGTACCTACAAAAGTCGGTAGAGACTATAAAAAACTTAGATAATTGCAAATAGATATAATCTTCATTTTTTGAACCTGGATAATAAAGTTTGATCAAACTTACCTATCCGGTACATCAGTATTGGCCTCAGTTCTAGGTCGTTTTGTCTGAAACAAAAATGGGATAGCAATTATTTTTATATTGTTTTTATGAATATATGAGTGCATTTAGTTAGTTCAAAATATTAACGAAAACAACAGGTTAGTAAATGTGCAAAAAATATTAATCTCCTACAATTTTTTTTAAACATTATTTAGAGATATTTATCGTATTTTTTTTTAACCTATTTGTCTACTCTAGGGATAAGGACAAAACAAACCAATTTTGTACTGTTCTTTTTTAACGTAATTAAGACTAAACCAAGTACTTAAATAGCAGTAATAGTTAGTATTTCAAGAAATATGAAATTACTAAGCACTGGGTCTGGATTATTTTCTAGAGTAGAACATTAAGATGCTTGTAACACAACTGTCTGAATATGCGTCTGAAATAGGTGAGGAGGGGTCTGCCTTGGTTTCTCTACTTAAAATCGCTCAAATAGTTTTGGTATTAACATCAGAAACAATGATAAACAACATTACATCTCATTATAATTTTGGTACACACAATACAAAAACTATAATATTTGTTACCATATCTACTGCAATAGTAAGTCTATGTATACACTTGTGCAAATTATTGCAAACACATTTTGCGTTCTAGGAACCACATTGTCACGTAAAGAATGGTAATTGTGAATGTTGTGCCGATGTGACTGCCTACAACATTCAGATATAATTACAATTCAGGGGCCGTTCATAAAGGTACGTCATAGGCTGGTTGGTAAAGTGTTACATTGTATGCCAAAGAGTTGGAGGAATCATAAAGTTCGTCTAAAAAATTAGGTTATTAGAACCTTTTCCACCTCGAACTTAAATTTTGTGACATCATATTGCTGGGATTGATCTGCTCTGATCACTACGACTGATGTATTATCATACTCAACCAATATGACTAATGAATTCGTACTATGTGGTAGCTTGTATTCACACATAATTGTCATTAAAAATATACAGTTACAACCTTTTTCTATAGGAGTAAGTGGCGAGTTTCTTTTTATTTTTTTTTGTGCTAAAAGTGATTTATGAATCAAAGGTAGTTTAAAAGTGTAGAAGTGTTACTTATTAAAAGTGGTTAATTTGAAGTTTATTCTAATAAAGTACATTTCTATTCTAAATCAAACATCTTTTAATAAAATTGTAAGATATTTTTTATATCATCTATGTTGATTAGAAGTCCATAAAGTAAGTTTAAATTGGACAATCTATTTGTTTAAATACCACCAATTTCCTGAGGACTATCAAAACAACGATAAATCAGTTGGAATTTCGTACTACATTGTGTCATTGCAGTTCAGTAAGTAGGTACACTGTGCTCTAGTGGCACAAGTCTAGAAAACAATAAATTAATTGAAAATCACCCAGGAACACTGGTCTGACATAATTTACCGTCTTATTCAAATTACTTTTGTCAACTCAATTAAGAGCGTGCTATAAATTTCAGTACACAAGCAGCAAGGAATGCGGGCGCTATAAACATTGTAGTTATTTAATTAATTGGAGATTAATATTGTCTGTATGTTGATCATTGTAATAAAAAGCAATAAATTATGGTTCAGGAAGTTTGTGGACATCTTATGGTCTCTATATTGGTTAAATGATTTTTCAATTGTAAAACTCAACTGTAGCACTATAGATGCATTTCTGGGCATGTTTTATATTACAATTGAAGTTGCCTGCGTGAATTCGGTTATCATACGTATTAATGACTTGGTTCTTAAAGACTGTACACTAATTTTTTGCACAGAAAAACGAATGTTGCTTTTGGTAAAAAAGACTATTTCAAAGTAAGAATAATTGAACAAAGGAAAAATATAATAAAAGTCTAAAAAAATCCGTCGTGCACCACTATGTTTTAACTAGAATCTGATTAACAAATATTAGAAGCTGTCAAATAGTTTTTATATAAAAATAGATTCTTTTATTCTTACAAATTTTCGCTACATCATGAAATCTGTTCTGAGAAATTGCCTGGAATAATGACTGCTTACTGTATTCCACATCGTACAATCTACAAATTTAATTGATCAATTCTAGATGAGTATTGGTCTTTTTGCAAGATTAACTCCTAGCAGATTTTTCGATTGAAATCTTCAAGAAAAGAGTATATTTGGTCGTCAACACACCTGCGATTGCTCTGATATTGCAGGTGCTCGGGCAACTGTAATCGTAATTGTATAATTGGATATACAACACTATGACAACACGTTATCATGTGATATGTTCATGCGTTTCCATTTTGGAGTACTGAGTCTCCAGTCAGCATCATGCCTCGGAGTTAGTTCGTCGTCAAAATATTCCAGTTATTTAGTAATTGACAGGTACTAGAGCTCCATGAACGTGTAAGAGGACCAATTTAAATTCCATACAAAAAATCAACCGTGTAACGGTTAACAATCCAAGTTTTCTAACGTAAAAAGATTAGAGATAAACATGTAAGTTATAAATAATAAAAGTCCTAAACGTCGCCTTCTGAGATCAAGATTACGGTAACAACATTAATAAAATCGGGCCGAATTTATTTAACAACTCTCCGAGGGCGCCACTGGGTCTCCGTTTGATATATGTACTTGGTGTAGAAACAAAGGACAGTATGAATCACACGTGATTTTTTGTACTGTAAAGAGTACAATAACATCGTTTATTATTAGAACTAAAGTTGTTGTTTTCGTTTGTCTGTCTATCTTCGATGACTTTGATACAAATGTCACTGTTATTTAGATATTTCTACCAAGTGTTTTTTTTTGTATACATTACAGAAAAAGTATCTTAATATTATAATAATACATCTTCACGACCGTGATTCCAGATGCGATAGTCAGAGCCGTTGTTAACTGTCGGCAGTATGGTGAACGCAAAACTTGACTGGTTACGTAGTGCATATATGTATTCGGTAAATATTCCATTGTATTTAAAATGAAATCAAGGCAATTTGGATTGTACAGGAATGTTTATTTGATTTATTAAATAAATATACTTAGTGTAGAAGAAAGGGTTGTATGAATAGTGTAAAATGTATAAACAAAAACATATAAATTGTGTAGATATGTGAACAAATGTTTACGCGAGATGACATTGGGTGAGTACACTGAGCTTCACTTGCAGATAACAGTTACTAAGATTACATAAAATAAAAGTGTTACTTATTCCAGGAGTTAGCTTGCTAAGTAGGCAAGTTATTATCAAAGTCGCTCGGTCGCCTCCCTTAGCAACTATGGGACACCACCTCCCAGGATAGCAGACGTCACTAAGAGATATCGCGTGTGAGAAAGGGCGTAAATCACGGGTCGCATTCCACTCGAGGTGTGAGGCCGACCGATCTTGCGATAGCGCGGGCTAATTTATACGTTTTATGCGGCGACAACGCGCCCGCGCGCTTTGGTATCGTTTGTTATACAGGTTGTTGTGTTAAATCTACATTTACTGCACGCATTCGATGGGCTATAAGAGTTGTTCATTTTGTTATATTTATTGAGTAATCATGAAGTAAAATAAATTGGAATAGCCTAAGAGTTCATGATAAACTGCTGAAGTTATAAAAACGGCTGATATCAATTTAAGCGCTTAAATATATTATTTTAAGTATAGCATGATTCTGAATTTTATATTATACATATTTATAATTCATAGTAAGTGTGGTTATTAATTGGTGGTTTCATTTGTACAGTTTTAAGCGAATAAATAATTTTAACTGTCTTGTTGACTTTTAACTAATTATAATTTATTAAAAGTCTGAAATTTATCAAAGTCATCTGAAACTTAAAATAAACATCTGCATATATGCATACATACTATGAAAAACAATTCAAAAGTTTAGCAATTGTTAAAATAATGTTCGTGCTAAGTAATGTTTAATTCAAACAAATAACAACAGCCTGTGTTCTAAACAAGCATCAAGACAAAACGCTTCTTTATTTTTACGTAATTCGTTTATTGTTTTATCTCACTTTATATTTACGACGGGGACTCCTGGCTCGTTCCGTCTCGCTCCCACATCGCGTTCCACAAAATAAATTCTCAAATTTATCGACCGCCATATTTATGTTCGTTTATAGTTGATAATTCCAGTGAGATACCGATTGGTGATATTAATTCCACGTTTGAATTTTGAACTCATCGCGTGAAATGTCAATTTTAATAGTGATTTATTTTAATGACATTATTTTTTTTTTTTTTTAAACGCCCGTAATTTGTTAACGAACTTTTTCATTTTTTTGTTGCAGTGTACTAAAGAAATATTTTTTCATGTTACCAATATTTTTTAATTTAACAATGTAACTTTGCTGTTTCATATTTTAACTATACAAACTTTCTCTTAATGTATGTCATGTCATTCAAATTTTATGACAACTTTGATTAAGTTAAGTATATCTAAGTACTAAACGACAAACTGTATGAACGAAAAGTTTTTGCCTGCCGACATGACAAATTTAAAAAAAATCAATAGATAGACTGCGAATAAGCATTTATTATAAATCTCCGGTGCGAGAATAGAAAAAAGCACTTGTAAAATTACGAGAAAGTATTTTGTTCGCTGTTTATTTAATTTAAAAACTATCATAGGTTTTTTATTATGAAATAAAAAAATCATATCATATAACTTTTACAAATGATTAGAGTATTTAGTGAGCTTTCTTTGTGTAACTTTTAGTGTCTATTTTTGTTTACACATTACATTTGAGATAAAACCTTTTGGTTTTAAGCAGTAATGTTGAGGCAGTGATTCCCAACATTTTTGAGTTAGGATCACTTTGTATAAAATTTAAATGTAAGTGTACTCTAATTAATATAAGTATAGGTACTTATATTTTAAAAGCGTGCTTTTAATGAATTGTAAATATGGTGATACCATATTTTGGTAGATCACTTACCTTCTAGGAAATTACCCGTGTCCAGTACTACTTAAATTATTTAAATTTAGAACGAATTAATGATTCAGTTAAGTTTCTTGCCAGTGCTTTACAACTAAATTAACTGGATGGTACGAACTGACTTAGATGGTACGGATAATACCTTTAAACTTGTTTTATTTTACTTTCATAAATTATAATTATTACAATGTATTTCTGCATAGGACCAAAATTAAATATGATTGAACGATTGGCTGACTTGAATGAATAAATAAAAGTAGTGGCAAAAAAGGTTTGCAAGATTCAAGTATTGTATGTCGGTAGTAATTAATGATCCTTGACAAATAATCAGTATAATTTGTTTAAAGAAAAATGTATACGCAAAATCTGTATATGGCGACGGATGATGTGAGATAATTTTTTTATAGATGAACTATGTAACGTCTCTGCTTTGTCTGTAAGCGATCAATCATCATAAAAAAGGTAATTATGTGAAATTATTATTATACAATTATATACAATACACTATATAACTGTGCTAGCTTTTGACTGCGGCTTCGCTCGCGTTAATTTAGGGGTGGAATTTATCAGAATCCTTTCTATGGGGATTCCTATGTCATAGTGGATTTATGCATGCAAAGTCTCAGCCCGATCGGTTTAAAATTGACAAAGTTTCATACAAACTTTCATCCCCAATTTTATCCCCTTGGGGGTATAATTAATCAAAATCCTTTCTTAGCGGATGCCTACGTCATAACATCTACCTGCACGCCAAATTTCAGCCCGATCCGTCCAGTGGTTTGGGCCGTGCGTTGATAGATCACTATGTCAGTCACCTTTGAGTTATATATATTTAGATTTTGTATTATGATTTTATTTTATTCATTGACTCAGGATAAAATACCATCCTGATCATCATCGGCGGTCCTCCACAGTGCGGTTTTCTTGAAACTTTTTGCCACGCACAACCGCATTGTGGAATCACATTCCAGAAATATATTTCCGGACCGATACGATGTTGAAACTTTCAAGAAAAGAGCTTATTCCATTTTAAAAGACCGAGAACGTACTCGCAATTCCCATGGTATTGCGGGGGCTCTTTGCACTTACAATCAGGTGAGCCGTATGCTCGTTTGTCCCCTGTGTTATAAAAAAAAGGCGGGCCGTTGGTTGGTGGTCTGCGGGCCGTTGGTTGAAAGTCACTACTTTAGGTAAGGTGAGGTGAATCAAGAGAGACATCTTGCTCGATAAATCGCATCTTGTTAGCTATCGAGTCGGACAAATTTGTTTTATTGTCGTTATCTCTGGGTGGTTTTTGTTATCAATTCTTTCGATCTCTGTACCGTTTTGTACGTTTTCTTTTGTTTTAATATCGCGATAATAATTGCTGAAAATTATTACAATTGAGTTCTTTTTAATCAATTTCATTTCTATTGTAATTTTTGTTATGTTATTTAAATGGTAAATTATGTTTCCGTCAACCTTATGATACTATTGTTTATATACCTACATTTAGCACAGCATAATGAACATCACGTTATCATGTGACGCCCGTGGTAGGTATAAGAGGTCATATGTTGCCTTTCAGGAAGATTAGGGTACCATACATTTTAGCCTGTAATTCCATTGCCTTATCTCATCCTTCAACTGAAACACATCTCACAAAGTAAGTTGCTTTTCTTTGCTTTCCAATCATTTTATAAACATAAATTTACTGTTATACGGATCAGAAACCCAGAAGTCGTCGATTCATCAATAACTAGGTTTGTTACCGGTGTGTTGTTTACACACCAGGTCAAATGTTGAGCGGAGTGTGTTTATTCTTAAAAACTCGACCTTGACCGATCGGAATTTTTTTGAGTAGTAAACGATGAAGACTCGACGGTGTACCTTCGATGAAATTTCGGCCTCGATCGGTCAAATCGTTTCGGCTGAGTTTCATTACAAAGAGTGCAAGTCTCTAAGAAATAGAAATAATCTTTATTCAAATAAACTCAATATAACTAAATAATACTTTTGAATAGTCACATTTTTTTATTCTACTACTCATTCGTGCAGACTCATCACAAGAAGAATGAGGAACTTGTGTGTTGCTCTTTTAAATAAATGTTGTTTCAAATAGATTTACATAAACAAGGATTAGGCATGCGACAATCAAGATAGAAACCGCTACGCACTTAATCTCTGTTCATTGAGATAGATCTGCGCTTCGCGATCCGCTCAATTAGGCATAAAAAAGCAACCGTATTTCCTCCTTAATTTAAGTCGGCTAATTAATTTATCATGGTAACCAAGTGTACAGTGATTATGTTGGCCTCGCTTTGGTATCAGGTGGCTAACGATGCACTGTCCCGTAGGTACGCTAGCGACACCATTCAATATGTTACGACTTTTTAATAGCCTCTAAAGATTAACGTATGAATGGGTAATACGAGACCAGACGCCGTTCCACATGGATACATAAACAGTTTGTCCGTCCGTATGTTTGTGTGTACGAACAATAAAATTTGGTGTTAGTTACGATGCACACCTCGGACGCTGGTAGATAAGGGTTAACGTGAATTAATCACCTGTTTGAACAAGACCTGTTAGGTTTGCTTCAGTGTTGCCAGATGATCGTCTTGATTTCTCCTCAAAATATTGCCCATTGTTTTTGAAGTTTGAAGCAAATAATATTACATTATATTATTTGGAAAATGGGTGACCATTCTCTAAAAAATTTTGATTATTTTATGACTATGGCATTGCTCTATCAGTATAGTTTTTGTTTTATAAGTGTTCTATTAACAATACACCCATAACTCCAACTTAAATTTCCTTCCCCTCACAAAACGACCGAAAACATTTATCCCTCTCTAATTTTTTTTCCCTTTCCCAATATTTTAATTAACGTTGGGGGGTTAATTCTGGTATCAACTAATAAATCTAAACCAATGTTTTTGTTTATAGCAATAACATATCACAAAAAATTAGAAAAAGAACCATCACATTCCAATATCCAGCTTAAAAAATCGCTCCAATATCGGAATTGGTGTAGACAGGCAAAAGATATAAAGCGTGTTAGAGTGCAAAGCAATGTAGGTAGATAGTTAGTAAGGTGCAAACTGCAAAACGTGCATTATATTACAAGTGCGCTCGGTGAAACATATATTTTGATTGTTAAACTGTATATAATAGGTAGGTGTACCCCAATAACACGGCTTTAAACGCTTCCTTGTTATAATTACCCTTCATAAATTTATTATTTCCTAGTACCAAGTTGACTGCGTGATTACTCTCTGTCTCAATTATTTCAGCCACCAACTTCAATAAGCTGTATTGCGGTTTGAGATATGATAGTGTAACAGGATGACACCTGAGGACTAGCAATGTTAGGTATCTTATAGTTCATGTCTACATGGTAACTTAAAAAGGGTATTAGGCTAAAAATTAAGTAGAGTAATTATGAAACTGGTCATTATTAGCCAAAAAACAAAGTGAAAATCTGCCATAAATGAAAATTTTCATACTGAATACATCACTTCACTCGCAATTGTATGAAGCTTTTAATGACTTAGTTTAATTTACACATTAATTTTGACTTGCTACATCAATTTTATGAATGACAGTGTAGATATAAGCAAGGGTTAACATTGAATACAAAGTAGACCATAAGTTTATTGTTATTATATAAGAAAATATTCTACTACTTCGCTTTACAGTTAATTTTTTTATTGTCCTTATCACCTCTAGTGAAAGACAAGGACACAAGCCATACAGCGGAGTCTATTAGTCCAATGTCTGGCAAATTTTATATTTAGAAAGAAGCGTTTATGCCCGAGTGATTGAGGTTGTATCCCTGTATCACCTTTGGCTCCACGTGCTCCAAGCTGCAGCGAGGCGACGTCCCACCGCCGAGGTAGCTACACGGCATCAGTGTCACCATGTCGTAGTTTGCATTCCGAACGCACTCACACACCACACCAGAATGTCACTTTGACAGTTTTTTGAGCGGGAAACAGTTTTTGAGCTGTCATTTTGCGCCTAGCGTTTGGTTTTTGAGCGGTACGGTGAGTCCATATAGTAATTTGGAGTCTTATGATATAATTTGGTATTATCCATTCTTCAGTGGATCATTGAGTCTAAAGGAAATTATTTTATAAAATGTTATATAATATAATATTAATAAACATAAGTATGGTGATGAAACCGCCTGCGTTACGGTAGGTACACGCAGGTGAAGTCCCAATGGCGGAAGATAGGATAAGAATGAAGTGGACCGTGGATGGTTTCCAGGAGGAAATGCGTTTATATCGGTCTGATAGCTTATTTATTCCTAGTGTTAACTATCGTACGAAATACCATTAATTAAAAATGGTTAATAATCACGTTCTTTATCTAAGGCATTCAGAGTAACCTGAAACGGAACGGCAGAGGCCAGGGCCTGAATAATCTTTCTGACATTGACAAGTAGATTGATGCACGGATGGAACTGACGTAACGGGAGCTTGGAGCGAAAAGGTTGGACTATTATAAAAACAAATAAGATATAGGTAATTGTGAATATAGTAGGAATTTCCAGGTTTATTAGTTAGGAATGGGAGGATACCACAAATAGTGAAAGTGAGTGGCCCTTTAAACCTACACCCGTGTCACAAGTCTCGGGCACTACTTGGAGTTCTCTCCCTGAACCATCGGTGGCCGGTATCAGGGCCTAATTCGTCATCATGACTAGTGGTTTTAAAACTAGTAATTGGTACAGTGGTCCGAATTACCAAAAAACTGCCCATCTCTATAAGTATATTACTTATTGAATTGACTAGTATGAATTTATAATGTTTGTCAACTTGACATAAAATGTAAAGCTGTATAGCATTTGTTTGTTTATGCAATTAACCCATTACTTCCCAAGCATCGATGTAATAGGATTAAGGTCTTAATACATTAAAAAAAGTTATAATATGTATTAAAATTACGTAAATATGTATTACTACCAAAAAAAAGTATTTTAATAGAAAAAATATTTTAAAATACAAATTTCATTGGTAGCTATAGTATAAATACATAGGTTCTTAAAAAAATAATTAAATGTAGTGTCCTAAAAATAGGACAGTGGGAAGGAAGGGTTAAGGACTATATTCTATTCCATTTGAAATTGAAATTCGTGAAACAATTATTTTAATTTATAAGGAGTAAGGCAAAAAAATGTATATAGTTTAGTAAGAAAATGTATATGTTTTTTGAACGAATGTTTTGTTTGATTAAATAAAATAGGTATCTAAGTTTGACAAAAAAATCATCAGAAAACATCATCACGCTACACTGGTGACTAGTTATTGAAAGCTTGTTATTCATCGCCCTACAGCACAGGAAAAAAAAGCAGAAACAAAAGAAAAAAAATTACACGCACGTTTGACGGACCACCCACATTGATCCGTCAAATTCGAATGTCGAAGCAAAGGCGAGGAACGTGTTCATCAAGTTGTCAAATCGGCTTTGACGTAATTATAAACGGACGAATTTTTTATTGATCACGACCATCTTGCCGCTTCTGTGTTCCTGGTAGTAATTAGTATTATATTAATACTAATTAAATTGTGATTATTTATTGAAATGGTAGGCGTGGTGTATTAATTATATTAACACCGACTTAGACGGTTATGGAGGTAGTTTGAAATGTGTGCGAAACCAAAAACTTCCTATAGATTTAGATTTCTCTGATGAAGTAAACACCGATAACAAATCAAGGCTCGTTCCCTGTCACATTGAATTTGAAATGCAGACACTAATATTGACAATTTCTCTGATTCAAATAAGGGTATTTGGTATAGAAGTGTAAACATATATTATATTAAAAAAAAAATACAAAAACAAAAATAATAGGCAGTTACATATATACGAAATTTACAAAAAGCTATTAAAAGAAAGGCATTACAAACAAACAGAAGTGGCAAGAACTTTCTTGTAAAACACATTAGCATTTTACAAGAAATTATACTTGAAAATTATTTTTTTTATGTACCTATCCCTGTTGTAGTCATTCTACATATTATAAATGTTTTCTTTTTATTAATTATAATATTTTAATCTTTTAAATTCTTGCAAAAACTCGTATTAAAACAAAACTTTACTAACGCACTGTTTACTTACAGTTTAATGCGGTAAAATCAGCTTCTGTTTCAAGTTTTTTGTTTACAGAAGCCAATCTGTCCACTCTAATTAAACCTCTACCAGATTAAAAGATGTAAAAAATATCCCGAGGCTACGTTCCATTCCACGCTACCACTTGTTATTAAAATAAAATATTTAATTTTAAACGAAACGTGTGTTTGTTTTCGAACTAGCGGGGGGCATACACAGTAGCGTTGCCGTCGCTGCGTGGTATGGAACACGAGGGTGACCATGGGTCATTAATGTCAGAAAGCTTTTAAACGATTTCGTAATCGTGTGTTGAAAAAACAAGAAATGCATAAAATGTTTAAAAATTTATAAATAAGTTCTGCTTCTATCTACCCACTCACATGTTAGTGTATGGGATTGTAGTTAATCTACAATTTTAGTATTCTAATATTTAAGAAATTAAAGAAGTTACCTAAATAGGTACAAAATTATTATGTACTTAGATAACTTTATACTTAAATTATATATTGGTAAAATCCATGAGTTGGAATGTTCGGGGTAATCTCAGGTCAGTAGGTACTTGATTTCGTCGATTTTGAAAAATCTTTGATTGTTGGATATCCTGTTATTTATTGAGGAGGGCTATAAGCTATACACCACGCTACAACCAATAGGAGTGAAGCTGTATAGAAAAATTTTGCAAACACGGGGAAAATATCTCTCACCCGAAAATGCGTGGGTCAGCGTAAACTGTCTGTTTTGTGTGTTAAGGTTTGAATGAAACTGGCACAATATTTATGTCATGTTTATTTAGTGGGAAAATGTAAAACTAAATGTACCACATCTTAGAAACAATTCGTCATATAGCGATGATGTGATATAGGATATTTTTAGCCAATTATACACGTCCATATTTTATTACTGTATATATATTAAACGTAGAGTCGAATTCAGTTGAGAATAATTGTCAAGAAACTTGGTAGGGTTCCTCCATAAATACGTTTATAAATATAACGTAAAGGGACTTGCATTTGTGTCATGATATTAGAATAATAAATCCCAAAAGATTTATTTTTGCCTATGTACTTAGCTAAACTCTAAAACTTTTCTAAGAAAAAACCGCCACCGACAAGAGTATCGCTCTTAATTTATGAATTAATTTTTTGAATTAAAAGTTTCATTATTAATTAGATAAACAAAGAATCGAGACAATGCAAATAATATCCTAAAACTTTCACTGTTTATGGTAATCGCAGACCTCGTGGCCTTTGGTCCTTCACAACAGGGGGCAAACGTGAACCAACGTCAATTTGTTCCTATAAATATAACGACCATACTGCACACCAGTAGAGTCCGTTATAACCTTTATTCCATTTCAATTAAAGTACAAAATCAATTAAATTTTGACAATGGTTTATAGAACTAATACATGAATAGAGAAGCATTATTTAATAGACTACCAGTTTTCCGCTCTTCTGGTTTTATTGTTCTTTTTTATATTGCCAGTAGAGTTAGAGAAAGAATATATACTTTTTTTTCTTTAATAATATACTGTTATAACACGTTCCAAATACAAATTTCTATCTAATTTTACTAAGTACATAATTTTTACCTTGAATTTCTAGTGAAATATTTTCTAATCGGATGGCTAAACTTATTAGTTTTCAAGTTTCTACCTCCTGCCGTTAACACAGTGCGATCAGGACTTTGACTATGAATTACAACACAGACACCTCAATATTGTAACAAGTTTGACGTGACTGAGCATGTCTGTGTCATCGTAGCTCCGAAACGTATGAGCCTATTATGCGATTTCTCTCTTTGAAAGGTGAATTATAGAGGGGGTTGTAAGCTACAATTTACAGAGTATTTTTTTATTCTTTAGAGTTTTTGTTCATGTCGGTGACTACTGAAAATATTCTTTGTTTTTTGTCAGTTCTTCTCATCTCGAAATCATTCCGAACTGACGGTAGATTTGACATATCATAAGAGTCTGTAATAGACCTACATGAATAAAAATATTTTGAATTTTGAATTTTTTTAATTCCATTTATTTAAAAAAAAAATGGAAATAATTTAAGATTAAATTGAAACTTGCATATTTTTATGTATCATTTCCATATCATACAATACAGCTTACATATGCAACTGTCGAGACGTACCTACATAATCGTAAAACTTTCAATTTTAATATATTACCATTTTAAATGACCTATATAAAGAGAGAGTATTGACTTATCCATTGCAATTAAAAAAACAACTGGTCCTTTCATATTACATGTATTTAATTATTTTACAATATGCATATATACATCATTTATTCAAAACAAAATCCCAAAAACTATAGGCTTTTTAAATGTACATATTCAATAATAAAGGCGAACTGGTAATGACAGTAAAAAATATGGATTTATCAATATCGTATCGACTATCGACTAGTATCGACATATACCAGCTATTATATTGAACTGTATTTACGTCTCATCACTAGTTATCGATATTTACATGAATAAATAAACTGTACCTATATAATAGATGTACAATTATTACAAACCAATCGAATAATGTTATATCGAACACTATTCATTTTTTAAATGGATTTTCTTTTACAATTTGCATACCTTGGTATAAAACTAGTCTTGTTTATATTCATCTCTAATAAGGATGTAGTTACACTGTAACAAAAGTTGGGCTCGTTTCAATTATTTGTGTGCAATCTACTATATAATTAGTTATTTATTTATTTACATACTAAGGAGATCTTTAATTATGGACGGATGAAGCGACTCTCTCAGTATGCTCGCTTAGGAAAATATATTAAGTTATAAAAATAATAAGAAGTTATATTATCATAATTACTCTTAGTTTCTATAACATTGGGCATATTATACCTCTATATATTATTAATAATAAATAAAAATAAAATAAAAATATTATAAATAGTCTTTACAGAAACTGCTGTTTATTGTAACAGTTTTATTAGGGTGAAATATCTTAAATTAATAAAGCAAAAAATAATATA